TTAGGGGGCTACAAATTAGCTCTAGCATCCATGCTTGTTTAATTAGTGAGCCACTAATTATTCAGCCAACTGAGAAGTAGATACACACAATCAGTGATGTATATGCAACACTAAAACAACCATTACTTGCGTTGCTCTCATCATGGCACATTGCCTGCTTGTCAACAACCAGAACATGCAGAGGACCAAGGAGATAGCATAAGTCAAGTCAGAAATCATCACATACATGATATATGTATCACTGCATGAGTAATATGTTCAATGCCAACGGTAGCAAATAAACAGAATCTGAAGAGCTTTCGAACACAAAATGATGGACTCAAAGTGTTTATTTAGCTTCCATGCTCTGAAAATACACAGAACTTTCGAGACCTCATATTTACGTATCATTTCTTTTACAAAGTATTTTGCCAAGATATAAAACTCTACAAAAGTCAGGAAGTGACATCAAATGAGTACTTGGATGACATCAATAAACAAATCTAACATTGAGAGAAAACAATCTATAAGCTTTAGCCGAAGCAATCTTGGAAACACTATATTCTGGCATCCAATACTTCTATAATCTCTATAGTTTTACAAATAGGAAACACTATATTTCTCTCAAAGTTTGATTTCTCTAAAATTCTTAGCACGGAAGGATGCTAGAAATATACGCTACTTAGATCCAGAAATATAGTCTTGGAATTGGAAACACTATATTGATGTCTTCCAAATGGAAACGGCAGCACTATACTCTAAAAGTCTCCAAAATTGAATACAACTATTTTAGCGTGCACAACTTATACATGATGGTGATGCTTAGACATTTACTTTAGTAGAATTCTAGCAGTGCTGCTGCAAATGCAAACCAAAAGCGCCAGAAGTTTTTTACCTTCCCATTGAGTACCAACAGCTCACCATCCACCCACTGTGGGTTTATGAATCCATGTTGTGCTATTCTTCCCTGACCTTTATAGCTGGCAGTCTAAAAAATTGAAACAAAGGTCAGGGAACACATATGCTCATGTGCTTGGCCGAATATCCAAAGCAGACGAGTTTTTCTTCAACATACTCGAAAAACTCCACATAATCAGTATGTGCTTCAGCAGGGTAAAAAGATGGGATGGAGCTCACCACGTCCACATGCAGCAGCAACAACAACATCTGAGCAACCTGCACACAAAACAAAACAAATCAAAGACAGGATGAACGAGAGGGAGGGGAGATGAAGAAACAGAGAAGACAAGGGGAGGGAGGACAGGAGGGAACCAACCAGGGCCAGAGATCCGAGGTCGCCATGGCCGGAGATGGGCGTCGTGGATGAGGAGGATTACACCATCAGTGGTGCTCTGCTCAGCTCAGCTCAGTGCTCTCCACCAGTCCGCCCCACTCCATCCCGAGCTGAGCTGAAACGACCCCGGCCAGCGCTAGCGGCCAAGCTCCAAACGCCAACGGCAGCGGCACCGACCGAGGAGGAGAGGATAATGGAGGCGCGGCGGCGGACGTTGCCGGTGGCGCTAGCGGTGCTGGCCCTGGCGGCGGCGGCAGAGGGGTACAACATCACCAAGATCCTGGCGGCGTACCCGGAGTACTCGCAGTTCAACAAGCTGCTGACGCAGACGCGGATCGCCTCACGGGCGAGATCCTCCTGCGGGCCACCGGCTCCTAGACCTAGGCAAGGCTACGAGGATCAGAGTGGGAGGGCAGGCGCAGGGTTGGTGGGCAGCGTGGGGGCGCTCACCGCGGTGGAGACGAGCTCGTCGGCGTAGGAGCCGCCGAAGGCGTGGACGCGGACAAGCGAGGTGCTCCTGGTCCTCGGGCTGCATGACGGCCGCTGCAGCCCCCTCCTGCCGGCGGTGGAGGCGCCACGCAAGCCAGAGCAGCCCTGGATGCCTGGGTGAGAGCGGGCATCGAGAGAGGAGGGTCGCGCGCGACGGCGGCGGCTGCGCGGCGGGCGGGGCCTGCTGCTTTTCTGGAGGAGGGGGGCTGTGGGGAGGAGAAGAGGCGGGGCTGGGAGGATGGCTGGCAGCGACAGGGAGGAGAGGAGAGCGGGGGGAGCGAGAGGGAATCGGCTAGGGTTCCAGCGCTAGCTCTCCCGTTTTATACCCTGGAAAACGAAATGACCGAAATACCCCGGTGGGGGCACGATATTTACATTTTGCTGCCATTACTATTCATTTCAGCAGTGTCAATCCCAGATCCAACGGCCCAGACTTCTCCAGATCTCGATCAGACGGACGAGAACGCATCAAGGGAAACGATCCGACGGCCTAGAGTGCCTGAGCTCTAAGGAGCCTTGTACATCCATCCTTCTCTTATTTCTGGATGCCGTTCTGTCCGCACACAAAGCATGTGGAATCACCTTAGATAGACCCAAAGCTTTCCACACATGTAAAATTGCTTCCATATTTACAATATGTAACAACAATAATAATATCTTCTAAAGACAAAGCATTATTCTGTATTTAAATGTAAAATACATATATAGTAATCGATACAAACATAAATCAAGAAAAAACTTGAGCTACCATGCCTCTTATTCAGTTACTTTAGGGAGCCTGCTCTTTACTCACCGTGCCTCTTCCGATGCAAGGAAACCATGCCAGCTACTACCGCGAGGGCTCGGTCCTGCGGCCCACCCAGCGCCGAAGCAATCTCGGCCTCATCCTGGAGGTGACCGGCCTTTTTCCGCGCCGCGGCGCCCTTCTCCCCTTCCATAAGCTCTCTGACCAGTGCCGCCACTTCCTCCCGCGGGACAACCGCTCTGTCCTTATCGAGGGGAGGCCTTTCCCACAACGCCAAGCCCACCCGATCCGACGATAGCATCACCGCGTTCATCCTCTGCTCGGCGTACAGCGGCCACGCCACCATCGGCACCCCCGTCTCCAGCGTGGAGTTCCATCCGCCATGAGACATGAACCCTCCCACGGCGACGTGGTTAAGGATCTCCACCTGCGGCGCCCATAGTGGCACAAGGAGCCCTGTACCGTTCATCCTCTCGACGAATCCGTCGGGCAGATAGCTCAGTGGGTCGGCATCGGTAGCAGCAGTGCCGAGGTAGGCCGCACTGCTGTCCTTGTCGTTGGGGTGGTGCACGCCGTGGACAGCGTGCCACCGCTGCCGAAGGACACGTACATGACCGAGCCGCCCGGCTGGTTATCCAGCCACCGTAAGCAGTTGGCTTGACCTCGTTAGAGTTGGGGCACCGCCGCCGTGTGAATGGACGCACGGCGTACGCCGGAGGGTACACGCCCTTGTCAGAAAGCTCTTTGAACGCCACCAGCGTCTCGTGCTCCAACGCGTCCATGGTGTTGACGATGAAGCCTTCCGCGAGGAGGTAGTTGCGCCCGAGCTCCATCATGAGCTGGTACACGGGGTCGGAGCGGTTCTGAGGGGCTCGAGGAGATCGGCGCCGTGTAGCGGCACGCACCCCGAGGGCAGCACGGGCTCCGGGAGGTCGCGGCACTCGCAGGTGGTGGTCCTGGCGAGCTCTGGGATGTAGAGAAACGATAACAGCGACATGAGGCTAGAGGTGTAGAAGACGTACCCAGGCAGACCCATCTCCTTGCCGATGGCGAGCGCCGCGGGGCAGAGCAAGTCGGTCACAAAGGCGGTGATTCCCGCCGGGGAGTCAAGGAGGGAGCGCAGTAGGTCGCGTAGCTGGGGCATGGCGCGGCTGATGACGGTGAGGATGCGAGTCACCAAGTGCGCGTCGGCGGGGAGGTCGTCGATGGACACCTCCGGCAGCGCCGCGACGGAGACTCCTGGCGGGAGGGAGGCGAGCCGCGAGGAGTGGCCGGGCGTGGACAGGCTGGCGTAAGTGACGATTGTGACAGTGAAGCTGTGGTGCACGGCAAGGCGCTTCGCCAGCTCGGAAACCGGGAGGACGTGGCCCAAGCCGGAGCTCGTGAGGATAACGACGTGCGGTGCCGCGGCCATGACCAGCACAACGAGCTAGTTAATACGTGAGACCGTGTTAGCTAGTGTGTCCCCTAGCGTTTATTCGGCAGCAAACACGTACGCATACTGCTTAGGGCGCTGATCTGCGCCGGTGCGCCGGCCCAACTGTTGGGCCGGTCCAGCACCAACCGTCTGATGCGCGAGCCCTAGTCGTCCGATCTGGGGCCGTTGTCTTTCTCCTATCCCCTTCTTTCCTTCCACGGCAGCGTGAGCGCCGCTCTCGGGCCTGCGCGTCCTCCAGGCCGCCGGCTCCTCTCCAGCGTCACCGTCGCCCGCCTGGCCCGCCCCCGGTCCGCCGTGGCTCTCGCCAGCTCCGCCGCATGCAGCTCCTGCCAGCAAAGGTCGCAGCTTCGACGAAGGAGTGCCGCCCCGTCCAGCTTGTAGCAATGCCGCTCACCGCCGATGGCCGCGTCTGCGCGCGAAGCCGCCAGTAGTTCACCGCCGGTCCCTCGAGTTCGTCGCCGCTGCAGCTCCGCCGTGAAAGCCATTGCATCAATTGTGAGGTGCCAGTCCATCTTTTTGTCGCCGGGTTGAAGCTTTTTAAAAATATGGTTGAAGCTTTTCACGTTAACGGATGCAACTTTTTTGTTGTGTACTCACGGGTTGAAAAGTCCTATAAAGCCAGTTGAAGCTTTTTATAAAACCGGTTGAAGCTTTTCAATTCAACGGTTGAAGCTTTCTCAAAAAATGACGGGTGTGGATTTTTGTTTCATAGTGGTCCGATGAAACTTCTCTATTCTGTCGTTTGTAGCTTTTCAAACTATGGTTGAAGCTTTTTATAAAACAGGTTGAAGCTTTTCAATTCAACGGTTGAAGCTTTCTCAAAAAAATGACGTGTGTGGATTTTTGTTTCATAGTGGTCCAATGAAACTTCTCTATTCCGTCGTTTGCAGCTTTTCAAACTATGGTTGAAGCTTTTTCGTACGAACGGTTGTAGCTTTTTTCAGTGCATGGTGTCCGGCTGAAGCTTGATATACCGCTAGTTGAAGCTCTCAAATTGAACGGTTGTAGCTTTTTTGGTCGTCGGTTGCAACATCGGTGGAGGAGAAAAAAAATGCTTCCAAAGTTCGTCTGGAAGCAGATGGTTGCAGCGGTGGGGGAGGAGGTAGCGCGCTCGCGCTGCCGTGGTTGAAGCATCTCCGATGGACGGTTCTAGCACAGGGGAGTACGAACAGCAGCTCGCGGACGGTATATTCCATGGAGACTTCCAACTCCGGCTCGCCGGGCGCGGAAGGAACCTGCAGCCGAGGGGGGAGGGTGGCCAGCGGGAAAGAAGGGGATCTGAAGGATGGAGGTGACTTGCGCAGGGTTGGGGCTAGCGGGCGGCGGGATCTGAAGGAGGAAGAAGGGGATCGGGAGAAGCGCGAGGCGTGCGATGCGCTTCGCCTCGCTTCGATCAAGTGGCCCGCACGGGACCGGCGGAACGGTTCGGCCGGTGCCCCGACCCCAAACGTTTCCCTACTGCTTATATCCGAAAAGAAAAGCGTGAGGTAAATGTTTCTAATCTGGTGGTTGTACGCTCCCGTCGGCCACCACACGCGGTCTGACACGTAATACATGTGCCATACATGGGGCCCATCCCAACATCTAGAAACCTCATCACCGCCCATCACTAGTAGAAAAGGGGCCTATTGACCCGGTTGGTGAGGGCCTTTAGCCCCGGTTCATGAATCGGGACTAAAGGGTCGGTACTAATACCCTGGCCCTTTAGTCCCGGTTCAATCCAGAACCGGGACTGATGGGCCTCCACATGGCCTCTGCGCCGAGCCCAGGCAGGAGGGCCTTTGGTCCTGGTTGGTAGCACCAACCGGGACCAATAGTCATCCACGCGTTAGCATTTCTGTGGCTGGGGTTTTTGATTCTTTTGAAGGGGGGTGGGGGGGGGGGTTAATTTAGGTGTTTCATATATTGTGTTAGCTAGCTAATTAATAGAGAGAAGTGTCCTCTCTTTTGCCCGTGCTTGGTCGACGCTACGTACTATACATACGTATATAGAGGACTAGCTAGACACGCTAGCTAGCTAGTAAGCAAACGAAGGAAACAGAAGATTGTCATGAACATATATGCATACAGAGGGAAGTGATATCGATCACCTCTCCTTCTCCGAGACATTGGTCGAACAACAAGTTCTCGTATATCTATCCGACACTACCGGCTACATATATACAATAATTATCTTTTACAAAAATAATCTCCTAACATACAGACGCGTGGTCCATATAGTATTCTCCGTCTTCAGCGATCACGTGGTCAAGAAAGAATGCCGCCAATTCCTCTTGAATTGCTCGCATGCGATCTGGTGCTAGTAGTTCATCCCGCATCCGAAACATCTAATTTTAAGAAGGGGGTCAATACATACATATATATATATATATATATATATATATATATGAATGAATGAAACTCAACACAAATGATGGTAATAAAATAAAATTGTGAATATTGTTAATTACGCACTTCATATTGTTTGTCAGAGTAGCCCCGCTCACAGGTCGTGTGGCGGATGGACTCGCAAACGTAGTATCCACAGAAATCATTTCCTTGTTCCTGCCACAACCACTTTACAAGAAATAGAGGTCAATCAAACTGATAATTAGCAAGCATGTTAAATGGTATTGATGAAACTAGCGCTTGAATCACTAGGAGATGCGTGGGATATGCTACTATAGTACTTACTTTCGGGTGTCTAAGTTGCAGCTTCTTCGGCAGCCCCGAAGCTTTTTTGGTGAATTTTCTCCAAACCCTGCCATACAAAGAAAACAATTACTTGATATCAGAAGTGAACAAAGTTGCTGATATGGTGGATAATGATCGATTTAACTTACTTCTCGAGCATTTCAGTCATGTCCGCATACTCCTTGGGATCTTTTCGTCTCGAGTCTAAGACAGTTACTACTCCCTGCTCAAGCTTAATCTCTAGGAGAATATAGTGGAAGCTGCACGCTTGCATAACTCATCAATATTACATTACTATAACCTGGACTAATAAGGAAACCGAATATGCCACAAGACAGTAACACTCACTTGAAGTTGTAAGGAAAGAGTATTATATCCTTGTGTTCATTTATTACGAACGATTGTAGCAAGTTGGCCTCGGTATTTTCGGCATGAAATTCAACCTCAGTTGCATCTATGAGATATGTGTTAATGAACCCAATGGAACCCACTTGTCTTTTCTTCAATTCGGCGATCTTCAATCTGCATAATATAGTGAGGATAATTATAAATACATGCAATGAAAGAGCTGAGTTATATAGAGAGACTTAATGACAGAAGTAGTACTACTTACAAACAGTAGCAGGTGACCGTTGCTTTATCGTGGGCCAATTGATTGAAAAACTGATAGAACTCCTCAAATGGAATAGGCAACAGTTCAATTCCAATGAGGTCATGCTCCTTTTTAACTCTCACATACAAAGTACTCCTCCCCTCGGACTCTCTGCAGATTTTCATGTACCAATCATGCAATCTTCGCATCATCATTGATAGAGAGCTTTCATCTTCTTCACCCTCTCCTTCCAGACCATCGGTGTCGTTGAGAAAGATCATTGAGTTGATGGCATCACTTCCTTCTGTGATTATGTGCCTCAACAATGCTTCTTGTGCTTCGTCTCGGGGCGGGGTGTCCATAGTTTCTACAAATATTTACAACATGGCAATTATTATTCAAACATGACAGATATGGATATATTAGTGGCAAACGTTGAACTAGCTAGCTAATCACAATAAGGAATCATATTAATTAGTGGCCTCGACGCTGCTTCTCTAGGGTTTCGGGTGGCCTCGACAATGCTTCAAGGGTTAGGGGGTGGCCTCGAGAACGCTTCAAGGAGGGGGTAATATCGACCCCCCCACGTGTTGAAGCTATCGGGAGGGGGTATATCGACAACAACAACGACGACACTACATCTATGTCCCACAAGTGACATGGGCATCGACGCCCGTGTCACTTGTGGGACGTGGATGTAGTGTCCGACATCGACGGCCACATGTATCTCACACCGACGATATTTGCTATTTAATTAGGGTTTCCTCTACCGCTCGGCGACCCTAGACGACCCTCGTTCCCGATAAAAAAAAGAGGAAGAAGAAGAAAAAAAAGAGGAGAAGAAAGAATAGAGGAGAAGAACTCCTCTATTCTTTCTTCTCCTCTTTTTTTTTCTTCTTCCTCTTCTTTTTTTTATCAAGGGGCCAAGGATCGCCGAGGGGTCGAGGGTCAAGGGGTCGAGGATCGTCGAGCGGTCGAGGGTCAAGGGGCCGAGGATCGCCGAGCGGTCGGGAGGTTGCCTAGTGTCAAAGGATTCAACAAAACCATGTCTTCATCATTAGGCAAAAGTAACGGGTGCATGATGGCACGAAGCTCTCCAAAGTTATTTTGAAACAGAGTCCCATATAGGATAATTCGCTTTTTGGTACAAAGTTCAGCAAGAACCTTCCGAATATCGTTATTTGGAAGGCCTTTGCTGAAATTCGTACAAAAAGGCAAATTATCCTATCCGGGACTCCATTCCAGAATAACTTTGGAGGACTTCGTACCATCATGCCCTGGTTACTTCCGGCTAATGATCAAGCCATGGATTTCTTCAATACTTTGACACTAGGAAACCTCTCTCGACCCTTCGAACCCTCGACCCTCGATCCCTCGACCCTATAGAACCCTCGAACCCTCGACCCTGAAACCCTCGACCCTTGACCCCTTAACGACCCTCGACCCCTTAACGACCCTCGACCCTCTACCCTAGTTCCCGACCCTCGACCCCTCGGCGATCCTTGACACCCTCGTTCCCGATAAAAATTAAGAAGAAGAAGAAGAAGAAGAAGAAGAAAGAGGTGAAGAAGAAAGGACTAGCTAGAGGAGAAGATCGAAGAAAAGAAGAAGAAAAAAAAGAGGAGAAGAAGAAAGGAATAGTGGAGAAGAAGAGAAAATAGAATATTCTATTTTCTCTTCCTCTCCACTATTCCTTTCTTCTTCTCCTCTC